CAAAAACATTTTATTCTAGCTTCATGCATTCTTTTTTAAAACACTTGAATGTGGATAAGTTTCGTGAATAAAAAATAAAGAAATAAACAACATTTTGAACAAAAAGCTGAAAAAAGACTATGAATTGGATTCAGAATGATAATCAAAACGTAGATAAAGTCGACCAACACCCCAAAGCTTGAAAGTCATTATTACCTCTTCATTGGTCGACATTTTATTCCATAACGTTACACAGTTTTGATGCTGTTTTATGTATGATGATCGTGTTAGATTACATGTGGAAGCATCTGTTGTTTCGGTTTCTTCTTCACTTGTGTTTTTTGGAAATTCTGTACAGAAGATGTGTACTAGCACCCCCTACAGTATAACAATGAAAACACGGATTCTAGGAGCACAATTATAGCTAAAATATATTTAGACTTTTTCTAAGTATAAGTCAAGTATACTTAAATGTCATTTTAAAGTATATTTCTGAGAAGTACATAAAGCCCATTTCTGAGAAGTACATAAAAAGTAGACTAAAAGTATACTTTCCTATTTTAAGTTTAAAAGAAGTATACTAATAGCCCACTTGAATAAACTTCTTTTTGCAAGGGTTATAAATAATAGTTTAACATTGAAATACATTGCAAATATGGAAACATTGGATTTGTGGCGAATGAGAGAGGTACGTGAGGCCAATGGTAGCCTAGCCTATTTCAGTTTCGCTTTGTTTTGGTTTCTTTAGCTTTATATTTTTTTCATTCTTGATCTGTTCTGCATACCGTTACATTGAAATGATTTGTTTTGGAGTGAGGGTAACTAGGCTATGATTATAGTGTTTATAATATTTATACATTATTACATTTCACTTTATTTGGTATTATTTCTGGTATTATTACAGAAATGCACTTGTTAATGCCGGATCTTTAAAAACAAATACCAGAACGCAAAAATCCAAAATCTAACATTTTTCAGAACAGGATCCGGCAGGATCTGGCTCAAAGTAAGCACTGTATGTATATATATATATATATATATATATATATATATGTATAC